AAAAACGAGCTGATGGTTGAGAGCCGGGGTGGGGGAGGCCAGGGCGGGGATGGAGGGAAGCGGGGAGTAGGAATTCAAGCTTTAAAAACGTGCCAACAAAAGCAGGAGGGAACAATAACCTCCCCCTCTCTTTCGAACCCTCCATCAAAGCACCTCGGCACAAAGGCGGAACCGGTTGCAGAGCCCAGCAGACCTGTCGCAGCGCTCGTTCCCCTTTTGCGGGGCTTTCAAAGGGTCGCGGCTTCATCTAAACCCGTGCCCAGGTGCCCCTCTGCGCGCTATTCTTAGTGCCTGCTGCTGGGCCCGTTCCTGCAGGTAGTGTAGGAAAATATTTAGGTACTGGTGGTTGGGTAGGAGCCCCCCGAGCTCCAGCCCCGGTTCGCAGCGATGCACCGGCGAGAGCAGCTCCTTTTGCAAAGCGTCGGAGGTGATGGGGGACCAGCCGGGGGGCACAGGGACGGCGGTGACGGGCACCTCTGTCCCCTGGGACCTGTGCTAGGGGTCCCGGCCCAGGATTTGCGGGAGAGTTTTGCAGGTCCCTGATCTGCGGGGTGGGGTTAGGCAGCCGAAAGCAAAAGCCTCCCCTGCCTTGTTTCTTTCTTAGCATTGAGTTTGGCAGAAAACTCGGCGCCGGCAGCATATGCGGTAGCGGCATCTTGACGTAAAGAAAGAGAAACAAGACCGAAAGGCAGGCGGGTTTCAGCGGTGCTAAAACAAGAAGTTTGATTTCTGGCAGCCCCCCCCCCTCCACGGTGGGAGGAGGCGGGGAGCTCGCCCGTGCCGGGAAGGGAGAGAAACCCGGCACCCAGGCGTTATCGCTCGGGTGCTGTATGCGGACGCCGAGATGTTTGCATTTCCAGCTCTCTTGCTGCCAAGCATTGGATTACCAAAGCTCTAAAAACTGTCGCTAAAACCCCAAACACCGAAGTGTTTCGCAATGCCCTGGGAAGAGGCGAGCGGGAGGGCTGGGAGCAGCACCCGACGGCGATGCTGCAACCCCCTGGGAGCAGGTGGG